TTTTTTAATTTTTCATTAGATCTAACTAAAAAAAGAAGACGTATATTTATGATAATTGTAAATTCTGTTTATTTTTATTTAAAAATTATGAAGTATTACAACACAAGTTTATCTTTCTATATATGGCACATAAAATCACTTAAAGCAATAATAATGAGAAAAAATTTTCATAGAATATAATTTATATTAAGCAATATCTTCATCATCATCATCATTACAGCCCTTCACAAGTCCACTGCTGAACACAGACCTCCCCCAAGGAATGCGACAAAGCACGTTCCTAAACCACCTGCATTCATCGACTTCCTGAATGTCTTACCAGGTCGTCACTCAATCTAGTAGGAGGTCGCCCTACACTTCACCTACCGGTACGAGGCTGCCACTCGAGAACCTTTTTTCCATCGGTTGTCGGTTCTTCGAGCTATATGGTCGGCCAATTGTCACTTCAGCTTACTAATCCGTTGGACTATGTCGGCCACTCTTGTTCTTCTGCAGATATCCTCATTTCTAAGTTTATCACGTAGAGAAACCCCAAGCATAGCCTTCTTATTATTTTCTTATAATTATCTCGCTGAGCAACCATGAGCGTCCTCATACGGCCAACGGTGAAGGACCACGTCTCAGATCCATAAGTCAGCACTGGCAACACGCGCTGGTTGTACAATCTCGTTTTCAGGTTTTGAGGTATATACCTGACGAGAAGATGTGTCATAATTTCCCGAACGCAGCCCAGCCAAGTTGAATCCGTCGTTTGACCTCTCGTTCGAAGTTGGACTTACCCAGTCGGATTATTTGCCCCAGGTAAACGTACTCATCAACAACTTCGAGCTTAGTGCTCCCAACAACTACCGGCATAGTGTTGAAATTGACATTACACATGACATTTGCTTTGTCCATGTTCATCTTAAGATCTATCCGTTGGGAGACACTTTTGAGGTCATTGAGTTTAGTGCTTAGGTCCTGCGGTGATTCAGCCATAAGGACTACATCGTCGGCAAATCGAAGGCGAGTGATGTACTCAGCATTGATATTAATACCGTATCCTTTCCAGTTCAGTAGCTTGAAAATGTCTTCCAATGCAGCGGTGGAGAAATTCGGTGATATTTCTCTCTGCAGTTGAATAGGTTTCGTACTCTGATTCTGTACTTGGATAACCATCGTAGCCCTACTGTACATACACTTCAACCCTTCGATATACTGACAGTCAACCTGCCACCGTTGAAGGGACTGCAGCACCGCTCAAATTTCGACGGAATTAAAGGTTTTTTCATACTCTGATTACGCAAGGCAAAGTGGCAGATTGCACTCTTTGGTCTTCTGTACAATCTGTCGCAGGGTATGTATGTGGTCCATGGTACTGAAGACTTTTCGGAAACCGGCTTGTTCAGGAGGCTGGAAGTCGTCAAGTCTGCGTGCGAGACGATTCGTAAGCAATATCTTAGAATATAATTTATAAATCGAATTAAGAACTATGCGGTATTTATATACTGTTTATATTACTTTCATTTTATTATTACGAGTCAGCAATATTTATTATTTGTTGGGTATTTTGAACTAATAAAATTTTAACCATTGATTATAAATTAAATTCTTTAATAAGAAACCCTGGTAAGAGCGGTAAAAGTAAAAATAAATCAGTCGGTTGGCCATGCAGCGCTACTCCATAATAGAACGGACGCCAGAAAAATAAATATATAAAGAACTAAGAGCGAGATTGTTGACGAACTAGTTCGCATAGTTCATCTAAAGGAGCACTATTCTCACTTAGGTCGTTCGTGAACTACGCAAGACTAGTCTGTGGGTAACAGTAACACCGGTAACCACAAACTAATAAGAGTACTAACGTAACCGGTAACACTGTAGATGACTATAGTTCATAAAAGATATCTTAGTTCATAGTATATAGTAGAAATAGAAATAGAAATAGAAACTTTTTTATTCAATGTAGATTATAAAAATACTTATTGAAAGTCACTTTTTTAATTTACCACTGGTTCGCAAAAAAAACCTCTGTCCTGGGCAGAACCAGCAAGAAACCCAGCGGGACTATTTTTTTTTTAATAATAGCTTACAATCATGTTTACAATCAAAAACACAAGACAAATTAGAAATAGCTTGGTAGCGATCACCCTTCCCAGGGGTTATTATCATCTATAAATTCCTTAATATTATAATAACCCTTTTTATACAAACTTAGTTTAATAACATTTTTGAACTTTGTGTATGACAAATTTTGTATATTTTCTGGGATTTTGTTGTAAAAGCCGTATACATCGCCCCAAGAATGAATTACTGACTCGGTGGAGTCGAGTAACTGGTACTACCAGCTTGTGTCTGTTCCTAGTATTTACAGAATGAATATCACTTATTTTCGCAAAACTACTTTTATTTTTGTGTACGTACATTACATTTTCATAAATGTATTGAGAGGCCAGAGTTAATATATTAATTTCTTTAAATTTTTGTCTCAGTGACTCTTTTGGTTTTAAATTATATATTGCTCTAATGGCCCTCTTCTGTAAAATAAATATAATTTCAGTGTCAGTCGCGTGTCCCCATAGCAAAATATCATACGACATAATGCTATGGAAATAACTGAAGTAAACTATTCTAGCTGTTTCAACACTGGTAAGAGTTTTAATCTTCTTTACAGCATATGCTGCAGAACTAAGTCTGCTAGTTTTAGTAGCTAGTTTTGATATATGGGGGAGCCATTGAAGCTTTGCGTCCAGTGTGATTCCAAGAAAAATGGTGGTATCAACAAGACTCAGTTCCTCCCCATTTAAAATTACATTAGTATTGACATGTTTAACATTAGGAGTTACGAATTTCATACATTTAGTTTTAGTTCCATTCAAATGCAAATTATTAACATTAAACCAATTGACTAACTTAGCTATAGCATTATTTACTTCGTCGTAATTTAATAACTGTCGTTTTAATTTGAAAATTAATGAAGTATCATCAGCAAATAATACTATATCATGGTTATCCCCTACTATGTAAGGTAAGTCATTAATATATACAAGAAACAGAATGGGGCCAAGAATTGAGCCCTGAGGCACGCCCATTTGTACAATGAACCCGGAAGAACTCATACTATTAATAACAACTTTTTGTGTTCTGTCACTTAAATATGAAATAATTAATTTAAGAGCATCATTTCTTACACCGTAGTGTTGAAGTTTCCTGATTAATGTTTCATGGTGAACACAATCAAAGGCCTTGGATAGGTCACAGAACAAACCCAAAGCATCCTGTGAATTCTCCCATGCATTAAATATATATTTAATCAGCTCAACACCAGCATCAGTTGTTGAGCGACCCCTTGTGAAACCAAATTGATTTTTATGAAGTAATTTATTTACATTAAAAAAAAATTAACAATTGATCAAGAATAATTTTTTCAAAAATTTTACTAAGTGTTGGCAGTACAGAAATAGGTCTAAAATTAGCGGGGTCCAATGTACTACCAGATTTAAATAAAGGTATTACTTTACTATGCTTCATTAAATCAGGAAACACACCAGATTTGATACTACTATTAAAAATAATAGATAGTTGAGGTGCGATTGTATCTATTATGGACGCAATAAATTTAACAGAAATCCCCCACAGATCGGCGGTTCTCTTAATATCAATAGTCTTAAAATATTTTACAATATCTTTTGATGAAACTTTATGAAATGTAAAATTCTTTGTACACACATTTACGTTTTGTTTAAGTAATGATTCGGCGACGGTAGGAGAAGAATTCAGTGACTTAGTGGTTAAGATCGGAATATCAGTAAAATATTTCTCAAAAACCATTGCAACGTCCTGATCTGATTTAGTTAATTTATTGTTAAAACTTAACTGGTAGTTTGAAATGCGAGAGTTGACCTTACCAGTTTCACTATTAATTATACTCCATGTCATTTTAATTTTATTAGAAGCAGTCTTTATTTTGTTGCTTAAATACAATGACTTGGCTAAGGAGTACACTCTTTTAAATATTTTGGAATATTTTTTTACATATTCCCTAAATTCGACGCTAGGATTATATGACCTTTCATTGTAAAGTTCATATAACCTTTGTCTACTCTTATGGACTCCTACCGTCGCCCATTCATTAAATGCTTTACGATTATTCAAGGAGAATGTTTTAGAAGTAAAAGTATTATTAAATTCATTGCAAATGAGCTTAAATAATTTTGCATACAAAAAATTTGGATTATTTTGGTATGAAAGTAATGGAAGTTTTTTTACTATGTTACTTCTAAACTTCTCCAAGCATGATTACTGGAACAAACACTACTTTTTTATCTACTTGCTTTTTGTGAACATAAGGTAATGAAACAAATTGTCCACAGTTATAGTGATCTGTGTTGTAGAAGTAGATGTAGAAGACGAAGAGTTTTGGCGGGAACTTGGCCGTAGACGGAATGTCGCTTCTGTTTTGTCGCTTGTATAAATGGTTTGAAGTGGATTTCAATTCGTAAAAGTGATGTGATTTTATGAATTAATTGTCTGCGCGTGTGAACTATTAGAGAAAACGACGAAACAAATGCTTTGATGTCGATATAAACCTCAAGTTAATTTGATCGCTTGGGTGCCTCATGAACTAGAGTGGCTGTCGTCATCAACTGTCCGCTGGGTTGAGCTGTCGTCAAAATCTCTCAAGGGCTTCGAAATGTGACGAATCAGCATATTGTGAAGAAAAATATATAAAAATGAAGATTCCGAAAGAACTCAGAAAAGCTAGAACCCAGAGCCGTAAAGCCAATTAATAAAAAATGTAGAAGAGAAAGAGAATGAAGAGAAAAGAGATAAAGATAAAACATGATTCAAAACAAAATACAATTCGATAGGCGGTAAAGGCATAAAATCATAAAATTAAAGGCGGTAGTTATTTTTTAATTAAAGATGTTAGTAAGATAAATAGGTAGTTAAAAATCACGTGTGTATTTTAACTTAGGAAAAAAATTACCACCGGATTTCAGCATCAACTTGGTTCAGAAATGGAGGCAGGCTTTAGTGAAACTTGTAAATTATTGAAATCTTATTTTAAATATTTAGAACTGAATTTGTAGCTTATATTTTTGATTTTTTTTTAATCCGTTACATTTTTACTCTTACTCTTATAGATGAATGCCGGGAAATTTCTGAAGGAACGCCTAAAAGAAGTTTAAGAAATCGAAGTAAACCAAAAAAATATGGTGATTTTTTAGACTTGTCACCAGTAAAAAGAAGAAGTATAATAGAGGATGAAAGTTCTGAAGATGATGAAATGAAAAGGTTGTGTCCAGAAAAACCTACAGGTTATCTATCTTATTACTACTACTTACTATTTATGCAAATTTTACTGTATTAAATTGAATTTGTATTAAATTTAGAATTGTTATGTACCTGCGCCTTATAAGTTGCAGGCGGTGTCATCATCATCATCATTATAGCCCTTCACAAGTCCACTGCTGAACATAGGCCTCCTCCAAGTAATGCCATAAAGCACAATCCTGAGCTAAATGCTACCATCAACTTCCTGCATGTCTTACTAAGTTGTTGCTCCGCCTTGTGAAGTGGGGGAGGGGGGAGCGCTCAACAACCCCAAATAAATATTTGTGAGTATATATATCAACTAGACATAAAGTCATGTCTATGTTGAATGAATACAGAGGTATATGAGAATATGTAAAGGCATCAGAGTTGCTGGGGCTGTATAAACGTGCCATGAGATAGTAACATTACCAAAGAAAAGATTATATAAATGGTAAACAAAAACATTACTAAATATATGTACCTATTTTAAAGTATGTGTTATATTTGATGTATGAATTCCTTCATTTACATATCTAGTCTCATTATGCCGTGGTAGCTTAGATGGTTAGCGCTCACTGTAAATTTCACAGTACGCGAAGAACCTGGGTACGATCTTACCAGATGCTAACGTGTGAAAACATTGTGAGGAAACCTGCATGTCTGAGAAATAAGAAAAAAAAATATATCAGACATGTGAAGTCCGCCAACACGTATTGGGGCAGCACGGCCGACACTTTCTTGTCCTAAAACCCTCTCAGACATGAGGGGAGGCCTGTGCCTAGCCGTGGGACGTTTATAGGCTGTAACTTTAACTTTTAACATATCTAGTCTAATTTTATAATATTGAAGAAAAATAATTAAATAACGTAATAATTAAAAAAAAAAGAATAAAAATAATGCTTTGTAAATAAATTCAAGGATACCAACCAATTTCTGATTATAATAATTTGAATAATAAAAAAATAGATCTGAATTTTAACTAATTTTTTAATTGTTTTCCTTTTTTTCTGTATAGCCATTAATATCTCATATACATTATCAATTCAATTGTCAATATTCTTACATGAAAAAATATATTTAAATTTCTTGAATTGATAAAAATGATTTATAGTTGTTTCCTGATGGTTTCAGCTCTTAAGATTGCATTTTTGTCCTGTGTCTGTCAGCTGGTCTATATGGGCTGTCTAACCATGATCCAGACTGCAGTCAGTCTGTTTTCACATAGTGGATAATCCCACCTGTTCTCACCAGTCTGGGATTCAGTTCCATGTAGTGCTACCACTCAATGGGTGTTAAAGCTCTGGCACCATACCTGTGTCCTAGAGCTCTGGACTGAGCGGCGTCAGATTGATATCCCATTTGTATAGGGATGCGGGTCTGTGGATTTATATCTATCTGAACTTTTCCTATGCCTAGACGTAATGCGGAACTACTTCTCATATAATTATTTTGTGGAGAATAAAATTAGCTCCAAATAAGACTAAAATTGTTTAATTTTAAAACAATAAAATTTGGACAGGTTCTATAATTCAATATTCACATAGAAATGAAAAATCATTATCAATTTTTTTATAGCTTTGTTTTGCAGTGACGATGTGGATGGCCAAGATATTTTTAAATTTAAATCACGTCATACAAAAAATGACTTACAAAATATAGTGAAGACTGTTGTAAGCAATTCACCTATTGTGACAAACACTCCAATGAAAACTCCTAAAAAAGTTAAAGCTTTTGCTCACTTACAAAACATGTCTGAAGCTACACCTAGACAAGTTACTGATATCATAAAGAAAAGTAAGTAGTTTAAAAGACTTTGTATATAATTATACTTAATATTGATGTAAATTTATTATTAAAAAAATCAATTACTTCATTGAAATAATCTATGATTGAGGATGACTAAGGAGAAGACATTGCATCTGATTCTAAATGGATGCTCTTGCCCATATATCTTTACATATCTTCAATTATGAATCAATTGTATTGTTTCACCTCTGATGGCTAAGATGGAATATCTCTATAGCAATAAAATGGGTCTTCAGTTCTTTGCATATAATTGTAATAATATTCCTGGAAAATTTCTTGGGTTAGGCAATAGATTAGAATAGAATAATTTTTATTCAATATAGATAACTTGTAATTCTTATTAAAGGTAATTTGAATGATAAATGATAGAGGTTCTTTTTCCAAAACAGTGGTAAAAGGTACTTTTACCACTGTTTTGGAAAAAGAATCTCTATCATGGGAAGAATCAGCATGTGGGACTTTTTTTTCAGAGTAAATTATACAATAAGAAAGGTTGTATAAATTATTTACAAAAATTACTTTAGAAACAGCTTGGAAGTGACCACCTCATTACCAGGGGCTATTATCAACCATGTATTCATTTATATTATAGTAACCCTAGAGATTGGTCCTCGCACTATGGAGTCTGTGTGAATCCAGTAAAATGCCAAGCGATTTTAGTGACAAGTAAAAGGTTGCTGGCTAGGGTTAATCAAGCAGACTTACCTCCTGTTTACTACATAATACATATGATAATATTATTATTTCATTTAGTGATATTTTTTCGCATTTCGTCGCTATTTCGCCTTAGAAAGATGTCGGAGTCATCATCAGATGAATCAAAATATGATTTAGGATCATGCAAATAATTCAGAGTTGAAGCCACCAACAACCTGCGCTCTTTAATTCTTTGCTTCAAAGATCAAAGAAGTTCACGAGCAACTGGTTCATGATGCATAGTTTCTAATTTTTTGAGCATAAATATCAAAGCTGCGTCAGACGTCATCATGTTGGTGTTTCTTTTGCAAAGTTCTTCGACTATCGCTTTTAAGATTTCGAATACATTGCCCAGCTCATTCTCAGATATTTCCAGGTTCTTATTTGAATCTATCAGCGCCTTTTGAATAGGGATTTTGAGTTTGACAAATCTTTCTAACATATTTGCTAAATTGTTCCCCCGTGTCCTACAATCTAAAATCAAACTGAGCTCATGTCCTATTTCTTGTTTTACATATTTATGCAATGTGGCATCAATTTTAGGAGACGACTTTGTGAAAAGTTTCGCAATTTTTCTTACTTTTTCAAATTCATTCTTTGAATATAAATTCGTTTCCTTTTCCTTAATTTTATCTTTGTGCTCTTACAGTCAAATTAAAACCCGTCATAGTAATCTTCTTCATAACATTCCGAAGCAGAGTCATAAGAATCGTCATCTTCCAGTTCGCTTAGTTGAATTTGGGAACTGTTCTTTTTTATAGAGCACATCTAATATCGCTAGCTGTATACTATGAGCAAGGCATTGCTGGTGAAAAAGTGCTGCTTGTCTTCCAAATGTGAACATTATTACACTGGCACCGTCAGTAGTTGCACAGGCAAGCGAGTGGATTTGTCGTCGGCTTGAACTCGGGAGTTGGTCTTCTCTCTCACTCCAGAGTGTAGTCGCGCGACTTGGCATAGACATAGTCCAGTCGCATTGCTATAGCATCCACCGCGTGAGAATCGCGGGCTTTTTAATTTCTTATTGACATAATATTATAGAACATATATTTATAATGAAATAAGGAAAAAAAAAACGTAAATACCGGTTTTCGTTCACTCAATCCCAGTATTTTAAAGCTTTCGTTTCAGTCCGGTATCCCGGTATTTTCGAGATTCGGGATCCCGGTTTGCGACCCCTATTTAGTGCTCCCCCCCTATATAACAAAATTCGTTGGCAGACTAAGCTCTGTAGCTTATAGTGTAAACAAGTGGTAAAATTAAAAACTTTGTAAAAGCTACTTCAATACAAATAAAATGAGAACATCGTCAATGTATTCGAAGTCAATTCAATATGCATTATTAAGAATAACTCATAAACTACTGGTCAGATCTTGATCAAATTTATATGGGACCACATGAGAAGCACAAGCTTTCAAAAACATCAAAATCGGTTTACTTAGAAGACAGCTTTGAGGTAACGCACATAAAACAAAACATACAGTCGAAATGAATACCTTCCTTTTTGAAGTCGGTGAAAAAGAAGAAGTCTTACTAGTGTCAAGACAGCTAGATTAGTTTATTTTAGTTATTTCCATAGCATGATCTCTTATTTGCTATGGGGAAATGTGGTTGATTTAGAAACTATTTTTGTTTTGCAAAAGAGGGCCATAAGAGCTATTTACAATCTAAAACCGAGAGTCTCTCAAAGAGAAATTTCAAGAAATAAATATATAAAATTTGGCCTCTCAGTATATTTCATCCATTATAGCCTGTAAAAATCCACTGCTGAACATAGGTCACCCTCGTAGATCGCCTCATGGGGGGAGGGGGGTTTGCCATAGTTGCCACGCTTGGCAAGGGAGCTGGCAACCGCGGTTCTTTATTATTTTGAGTTGTGATTAGGAAGATACTGCTGGCCACCTCCTGTTTCATTTTCCTATAATATGGCGCAATGCGCTATATTGACCTCCATTAGTTATAAGGAAGACGCTGCTGCTGATGCTATTTTGTTACCCTCTGTCGCCTCTTATTATACCATACACCGGACGATATGGGGAGTGAATATACTTACACCATCAATAGACGGTTATAGTATTAGTATATTTACGAATTTTTATTGTACGTCCACAAAAACAAAAGAGGTTTTAATTAGAAAAGTTATGTATGCTCTGTAAACACCAGAAACAAACACAAGCTAGTGATACCAGTTCCTCGACTCCATTAAGTTAGTAATTCATGATAATATATGTAATGGGGCGATGTATACAATATTACAATAAAGTCCCAGAAAATATACAAGGTATCCCCATTACCAAGTTTGTAATATTATTATTAAATACGTGTTTGATAATGGTCATGGGGAATGAGGTGATTGCTTCCAAGCTGTATATTATATAAGTTTTGCAAGTAGTTTGTTAACTTGTAATAAATTGTAAAATTTTACTTTGCAAAAAAGTCCCGCTGTTTCTCTCTGGTTCTTCCCAGGACAAAGGTTTTTACCGAACCAGTGGTAAAAGTAAAAAAAATGACTCAATAAGAATTACTTGTAATTTATATTGAATAAAAACTATTGTATTTTGTTCTGAAGTGGTGAAGTGTTTGTGGTGTTACGATGGCTATCTGTACAGTACCATAGTACGAAACTTATCAAACTTGTGAGAGGTGTAAAACGAGCTGATTAGATAGCTGATTCTTGACATGGACAAGACAATGTCAGGTATAACACCTATGCCGGTAGTTGTTGGGAACAACTGCTTGAGGTTGTTGATGAGTGTAACTTGGGACAAAATATTCGATTAGCTAAGTTCAACTTCGACCAGGATGTCATCCAGCAAACTTCACTTTTTGAAACATATCTTGTCCGATATATCTTAGCTTAGAGCCTTAAGACGAAAGCATACAATATATATACTAGTGTTGTGTGTTGACTGAAGCTATATGTTACACAGCCAGTGATGGTGAGGGCAATGCTCGGAATTTCTCTGCATGTTGGAAACTGAGGATATTCAAGTGAATTTGTGGTAGGCTGTGGTGTGAGTGAGTGAGTGTAGTGAATATCTGTGATTTGCAGCATAATAGTGAGGATCTTAGATCACGGCTATGCGGACCAAGTTGATTATGTAGTTACGGGTGTTAGAGAATATACCATGAGGTGGCGACACAGATCAACCACATCATGTCTTTACGTGGGTGTTTTATCAAACACGACTCAGGAAAAATTTCTATCAAATGTAATATATACTTAATAAGGTTAGAAAATTTAACTAAGGGATCTTGAAAATCACAGCCACTGACAATAGACCCATTGTCACTTCAGCTTACTAATCCGTTGGGCTATGTCGGTCACTCTGGTTCTACTGCGGATATCCTCATTTCTGATTTATCGCTCAGAGAAACTCCGAGCGTAACCCCCTCCATAGCTCGCTCAACGACCTTGAGCGTCCTCATACGGCCAGCAGTGAAGGACCACGACTCAGATCCGTAAGTCATCACTGGTTGTACAATCTCGTTTTCAGAGTTTGAGGTATACCTGACGTGAAGATGTATCGTAATTTCTCGAACGCTGCCCAGCCGAGTTGAATCCGTCGATTGACCGGACCGGCCTAAATGGGCCGGCCATATAGCTCGAAGAACCGATAACCGATGGGGAAGAAAGGTTCTCGAGTGGCAGCCTCGTACCGGTAGGCGTACTGTAGGGCGACCCCCACTAGATGGAGTGACGACCTGGTAAGACATGCAGTAAGTCGATGGATGCTGGTGGCTCAGGACCGTGCTTTGTGGCGTTACTTGGGGGAGGCCTATGTTCAACAGTGGACTTGTGAAGGGCTGTAATGATGATGATGATGATGACATTGGAACCACAGACGATGAAAAACTTAAAAAAATCAGTCCTAAAATATTTAAACCAGTGTCAGAAATCTACCCGTGTAGTGGCAGTGTAAGAATATTCACTACCCCATATCATCCCGTGGATCGTAAGAGGCGATAAAGGGAAACAAATCAGGAGATGGACAGCAGGGCCTTCTCTATTAATAACTAAAATAAAAACTGTGCCAAGCGTGGCAACTATGGCAAATACTTCCCCTATGAGGCAATTTATGGGGGAAGCCTTTGTTCAGCAGTGGGCTTTAATAGGCTGTGAAGGTAATGGTATAAAATAAGAGATATATTATTGTGATTACTGTCAATTTATTCTTGCATCCTTTGTGCTTTGTGGTAGTTAGGCGAATCCTGCCGATTAAAGAAAGCAACTATTTGGTACTTGTAGAGTACTATTTACTCCATTTCTATTCACTACTATTCACTCCGTTTTCCAAAGTTTTATACTATTTATTCACAGGAATTATTCGTGAAGTCGAAAGTGACAGCGCAGAGAGTGATTACTCGGATGGAAGTAGTGATGATTTTGTACCTGAAAAGAGTGATGACGAGGTATAATTTGACTGTTTTTTATTATTCATAAGTTGCCTATGATTATGTTTATCTCTCCTATGTTCCATTATCGTCAAAGGCAAGGCTGGCGTTTTTTGAAAGATAGGAAAGCACATGAACAGTTCAACAAGCCCCTGCAGCCGACCTTGCGGAAGTTGGTTCAGTCACAATTTAAATAGATTGTAGATTTCAAGAAAGCTCATTTACATCACATCAATAGCATTTTTCATTCCACTGCCGGATGTAGCCGTTTCAAAGCATGTATAAGAAGGAAGTTTTACCCAAACATATCATGCAGGGATTGCGACTTGGTGAGCTCACAGTGGATTTATTATTCTCGCACTGATTATGCTGCGCGCAATACTTGTACCTGTAATATTTATTAGTTTTAGGGGTTAGCGTTTTTCTACGTCAGTCGTTCACCAGAACCCCGTTCGTCAATCAACAGGATACTCGCATGTGAGATTAGCATTAAGATGAAGTGGACGCCAAAATCAGATTTTTCACGCTTTATATGCTGTTTGGTCGGCCCGCACGCTATTTAATCGCATAATATTTATTTGATATCTAAAGTTATATATATATATATATATATATATATATATATATATACAGGCTGTCCCAGAAATTGACGTCAAGCCGAAACTTTCTGATAGGCGAGGCCATACTAGTTACCAGAAAAATATAAAAAAAATCTAAGTCATGTATTTCAGAAATTATAGTAATTTTATTTTTTTTCGATAAAATGTACGCCATGAGACAGTTTTTTCATTCCTGTTGCTACAAATATTTACTTTTTGCCAATTTTTTTCTCTTACGTCATCCTGAATAGTGCTTCTGTAACCTGTAATCCTAAACCCTGTGCCGATCACTCCAGCTTGAAAGAAAATGTAATTTTATACCGAAAAAAGTTTTCAGAATTAGTTTTTCGCACTACTTCAACTGACCGTCCTGGAAAAAAATCGTACTACGCCAGTTTGGCTGTAAAAGTTAAAGGATTCTAACGTGGTATAACACTTCATCATTCATCATCATTACAGCCCTTCACAAGTCCACTGCTGAACATAGGCCTCCCCCAAGTAATGCCACAAATCACGGTCCTGAGCCACCTGCATCCATCGACTTCCTGCATGTCTTACCAGGTCGTCACTCCATCTTGTGGGGGGTCGCCCTACACTACGCCTACCGGTACGAGGCTGCCACTCGAGAACCTTTCTTCCCCATCGGTTATCGGTTCTTGGAGCTATATGGCCAGCCCATTGCCACTTCAGCTTACTAATCCGTAAGTCTATCACGCAGTGAAACTCCGAGCATAGCCCTCTCCATAGCTCGCTGAGCGACCTTGAGCGTCCTCATACGGCCAGCGGTGAAGGACCACGTCTCAGATCCGTAAGTCATCACTGGCAACACGCACTGGTTATACACTTAAGTTTTCAGAGATTGAGGTATACCTGACGAGAAGATGTGTCGTAATTTCCCGAACGCTGCCCAGCCGAGTTGAATCCGTCGATTGACCTCTCGGTCGAAGTTGGACTTACCTAGTCGGACTATTTGTCCCAGGTAAACGTACTCGTCAACAATTTCGAGCATAGTGCTCCCAACAACTACCGGCATAGGTGTGACATGGACATTAAACATGATCTTTGTTTTGTCCATGTTCATCTTAAGACCTATCCGTTGGGAGACACCATTGAGGTCATTGAGCATAGTGCTAAGGTCCTCCAGCGATTCTGCCATAAGGACTATATCGTCGGCAAATCGAAGGTGAGTGATGTACTCGCCATTGATGTTAATACCGTATCCTTTCCAGTCCAGTAGCTTGAAAACGTCTTCCAACGCAGCGGTGAAGAGTTTCGGGGATATAACATCACCCTGTCTTACACCTCTCTGCAGTTGGATAGGTTTCGTTAGTCGGATCGGATAGCGATCAGCATTAGGGTATCTCTGGCATTACATTGGCATTCTCCATAAATGAGGTGCATGTTGGCATATTCCTATGTGGTGTACACAGCCATGGTATGGTAAAAATACACAATAACACGTCCAGGGAAAAGCAAAGGTCGTCGTAAAAAGATCACAAATGTCCAAATCCAAATCACACTCAAACAAGGCCAGTAAACGAAGCCAAAGTAGTAAGAACACAAGATATCACCAGCGAGTACAAAAAGATGTGTAGTAAACGAAGTAGCGTTACGTACTGATTTCACAGAGTACTTGACTGATTTGTAGTGTGTGTACCAATACAAATAAGAGGCGTCACTACCTGTCTTGCTCTCACTTAGCATGGCTCTCTGTCTTGTTCACTCATTTGCGTCTGTGTCTCATTAGCGTCAGTATCTGTCTCGCTCACACTTTATGGAATGTCTCTCTCTATCTCATTTAAACCACGCTGTGGTCATTAGGAACGCTTTGGTTGCACTAGAATCGTTTTAATGTAAGTTCCAAAAAATTGTTAAAAACTGACTTTGTTTAACAAAAATTTTTTTATGGCTGATCTAAGAAATAATAGAGTAAGTGTTGTTTACCACGTTAGAATCCTTATTAAATGCGCTATCTTTTAAAGCTACTTGCAAACTGGCGTAGTACGATTTTTTTCCAGGACGATCAGTTGAAGTAGTGCGAAAAACTAATTCTGAAAACTTGGTTCGGTATAAAATTACATTTTCTTTCAAGCTGGAGTGATCGGCACAGGGTTTAGGATTACAGGTTACAGAAGCACTATTCAGGATGACGTAAGAGGAAAAAAATTGGCAACAAGTAAATATTTGTAGCAACAGGAGTGAAAAACTGTCTCATGGTGTTCATTTTATGGAATAAAATAAAATTACTATAATTTCTGAAATACATGACTTAGATTTTTTTAAATATTTTCTGGTAACTAGTATGGCCTCGCCTATCAGAAAGTTTCGGCTTGACGTCGACTTCTGGGACACCCGATATATATATATATATATATATATATATATATATATATATATATATATATATATATATATATATATATATATATATATATATACTCTTTTATTGAAAAATAAACCCATAATTCACTCACGTATTTACTGGTGAACACATAGCCTGAATTCAATTGAAATTGATTTCATTACATTCGAATGAAACAGCTTTTTAACTTAGTGGACATACCTAAAATTGTAGATTTTGAGGAAACTGCGATCTTTTTCTATCGACCCAAAATGTTTCAATCGTGTTTTGGCCAACATAATTCACTAAGAAAAATCTTTAACTTTCATAATGAATTTAAAAAGAAAGTGGATTCGTAGTTTTTAATGACCAAAAATTGCTTTTCTATGCACCTATAAAGCATGAAAATTCTGCTTTTGGCGCTCACATCGCCTTAACTCGTTTGTTCTGAACATTTTTTTTTACATAATTATCTAATTTGATAAAACCCTTTCATCATAAGAATCTTTAGTGCCTTGAATTTACGCAAAGACAGGTCGATAATGTGGAATCTTCGTATCAATTGTTATAAGATCTTTGCTAAGTAGAGCTGTAAATGTAAGTACGTGTATGTATGCCTATACCTATTGCTAATGTACTCGTTTCTTGCGTTACTATCGACAGTCGTAATTTGCTGTCAGTTAGATCAGCGGGATGACATTCTAAGATCGTAAACTTTATAGAAAATTATAAATATTGTTGCGCGCAATACTTGATGCCACTAGCGCCATCTGGTATCAAGTATCAGAAATAGTAGTGTCAAGATCTTTCTGGAACTCTCCCAACAGCGCCATCTAGTAACGAATAGAAGAATTAAGCTTTCTAGAAAAGTCCACGCTCGAACTTTCCGCACTTAGTCGGTCGGGACCGTTATTTGCTGGAACATTCTGGATGTTTCGGTGGAAAAGGTGTATTGAAAGCCGCTGCAAGCCGCGATCGGGGCAGTATTGAATTGGCGATACGAGCGAAGCTTCGGAGCGAAATAAAGTGAATCAGTGTGATTAATTATTAGTCTATTTTAAGTTTTAATTGGTGTTCGGCAATTAAAGTGTTAATTTTGGTAATTCAATCGGCAGTTTTTATTGTCACGAAACCTAAGCTCGTAACAATATGAAGGAAATTCGAAAGGCAAAAGGCGAGAATGAGTTATGAGATGTGTTACCGCTATGGTCACCGCACTCTCGTTCGCCTTCGTTCGCGTTTGTAACTCTGTCCACATAACTGGCGCTCTTACACTATAGAAAAGATACAGTGTGAATACAGGGTAGAGCCAGTCAGCGTACTATAGCGAATCGTCTAAATGACGGAGATATATATTTTTTAAACTGTTTTACATACATAAATAACACAATGATAAAAATGCAGACCTTAAACACGTATAATTTGTAGGCTTTTAATTTGCCTACAAATGCAATGCCACCCTAGTGAGTCGTCAAAATAATTGCGAGTGCTGCATATTGTGGTTTAATAACTCCATCATCAAATAGTTAATTCCTTATTATCTTTTTTTATAGGAGAGGGGGCAAACGAGCATACGGCTTACCTGATGGTAAGTGATTACCGACCCCCATGAGCAACTCAACACCAGGGGAATTGCAGATGCGTTGCTGGCCTTTTAAAAAGGAGTAGGCTCTTTTCTTAAAGGTCCCTAAGTCGTATCGGTCCGGAAAAATCTCTGGTGCTAGTCGATTCCGCAAGGAAATTATGCGAGGAGAAAAACTTCTTTTAAATCGCACGGTGGTGGACCGCTAGTCACCCAGATGGTATGTATGATGTATGATATCGTGACTTTTGTCGCGATGTGCGATGGTGAAATTGTGCGGCTGGAATTAGTCCGAACAATTCCCCGTGGTAGATGCGATAAAACACGCAAAGAGATGCAACATCTGTTCGCAGTGTCAGTGAGTCAAGCTGATCGGAAAGAGCTCGGTCGCCGACGATTCGAACAGCTCTGCGCTGGATGCGATCAAATGGAAGGGGCTGGCACTGGGGAACCCCGGCCCATAGATGGGAACAGTATTCCATGTGAGGCCGAACCTGCGCCTTGTAAAGGTGCAGGCGGTGACCGGCATGAAAACGGCCCGCTCTGCTGAGCCTCCAAGCTTTTTAGAGGCCAATTTGACCTTCTCTTCCAAGTGACCACGAAACTGCACGTCACTCGATATGTCGACACCGAGGATTCCAATACTGGCTGAGGCAACAAGGGGAGTGCCTTGAAACTGAGGAGAAACGACGAAGGGTTTTTTTTGCGGTAAACGCGCAAACTTGTGTCTTCCGGGGATTAAACTGGACTAGATTTAGTTGCCCCTAGTCCGAGATTTATTTTAAATGATCGACGACGATGGTAAACCAATGGCTTATGACATAATTTCAAAGAAATAAATCACATATTGATTTATTTCTTTGAAATTATGTCATAAGCCGTTTTACAATTACCGTAACAGCCTATTAAAATACCCTGCTAAACAGGCCTCTATCTTTAGATTGCCACATAGGGTAGGGGGATACTTGCCTCGCTTGCCAAGTGGGTTGACAACCGCAGTTTTTATTTCAGTCGTTATTATTAGAGTTGTTCAAAATGGCTATAAATATTTAGCACGCTAAAGACTATATACATTTCTAGCGCGCTATTAATACACTAATTTATAGCGAGTTATTTATAAGAAAGCGTGTGGGGAGGCCAGCAAGCGCGTAAAGCTTTGCAGCACACTCAATTCGTAGTACGTTACATTACATGTCGTTCGTTGGATAGACCGCGTGCTATATAAAAATATTATTTCATAATACTTAAGCTGCATTTTAGACTAAAATAAAATAAAGCAATAAAAAAACAATGAACACTCTTTCATACTTTTCAGGCTTAGGACTGTCTATAATCGATGTAAAAGTTATTTTAACATTAATGTAAATTATTATAAATCAATTAAAAGCGTATTTAAAAGTTTATTTATTGTATATATACAAAAATCAACTATTTACATATACACTATTATGTTTACATTTTTGTATCTTTTTGCGTCACACGTCCACTCCCAACAGCGCGCACGCGACTACTGAATGCCATTAAAAGCTGCTAGAGCTAGTTGCCGCTAGATATTCATAACATCAAACCGCCATAGCGCTATACCGCCATGGCGGCTACTTACATACCACGTGCTGTGCGATATGTAAAGATAGCGCGCTATAATATGGCGCAATGCGCTATATTGACCTCTATTAGTTATAAGGAAGACGCTGCTGCGGATGCTATTTTGTTAACCTCTGTCGCCCCTTATGACTGACACCTACGAGATGATATAGGGTGGCGGATATTCTTACACCGCCACTAGGGTAATCAGTATGTAGTAAAACGTAATGATGGGCTTATTAAAAAAGAAAAAACTACTCATAACATAAGCAAGTTATTAATTTAACAAAAGCCATTCATTGCTAAAAGGTCATATATCCTGTATAATATTAGATAATATAACATTCTTCTGATTATTAATTCTGCAACAGCACCACCTACCGGGTCTAACTATACCTATAACTTTCGTGAAAGTGCATTTAATATCTTGAAAAAGTATTATCGCAATCCAATTAACAGTATTGCAGCGCATAAAATATAAAACAAAAATATTTTTTTTTATATATTAGATGATTTATCTTTTGTCAACATTCATACATTTGTAAAATTATGTTTCAGTCTGAATCACCTTCTGCATCGGCGAGTTCTGAAGAGAATGAAGAGGATGGCAGTGGCGAAGAAAATAAAAAAAATTGTTTAAACAAAAAGAAAGGACAATTTATAAAGAACAGGGATAATAAGATGAAACCAAAAGATTCTGAATACGTAGTCACTCCAGATAATTATTTCATGATGCATTCCAGTAAAAAGGTATGTTTCATTTTTTTATTTGGAATACTACATAATTCACCAAAATCGTAGAGAGCTGTAATACTGGACTGAACTTTGGCCTCTCCTTGAAGAAAGAGTTGCTGTTATATCCACAATCGATGTCTAAATGTCTTTGAAATTGTTTTCTTTACAATATTTTATATTAAAACTAGCGACACTCCCCGGCTTCGCTCGGGTGCAATTATTTATCGTAACTTACTTATAATTACCTACTGATACGTTGTCGAGCTGAAAAGCACGTTTTTATTAAGGATTGTTATATTCCTCGCTAGAGAGCTCTGATAATAAACGCGTCCGATTGCTGCTAAATTCAAGGTGCTATAGGGAGAACCGCGCCCTCCGACGTGCTATTTATAGGCATGCTCCCGCCGCCCCGCCCGGCCGGTACCACCGCAAACGCTACGTCCCGCAATTTTTAAATCTGTAATATCTTCGAAAATATTAATTTAAATCATATGCTGTAAAGGGTCATATAGATCTATAATAAAGTATTTAATTGGATAAGGGTTAATGATGTATTGGTTGAAATCGCTTCGAAAATTAGCCATTATTTGTCGAAAAAATGAAATGACAAAAAATGTTATTGTGGGATATCCATAAGAGATAAACATATACCATCGCGGAGTTTTCTGTTGACCTTTTTAATGTGTACAATACTTAGTACATTATTTTGATAAATCTTGTAGGGTTCACCCTGCGTTTGCAATGTATAAGCGGAAAAAATGAAATTATTTACATCACATTAAAAACCTCAAAAATAACAGTATTTCTCCACTATTTAATGGATGTTATTATACATATAAACCTTCCTCTTGAATCACTCTATCTATTAAAAAAGTAGTAGTAGTTTTAAAGATTTAAGCGTACATAGGGATATAGGGACAGAAAAAGCGACTTTGTTTTATACTATTGTTACGCGCTCAACTTCATACACTAGCGCCATCTAGTGTCAGGAACGAGAGCGAGGGGAGCTTTGCAGAAAATGACATCACAAATCTTTACCGACAGCGCCATCCGAAGAACTAAGTTTCTAGAAAATCTACACTCGAACACTCGTCGCTTTGCGCGCATTTACTTGAATATTCCGGATGCTTCATTGCTAATTTGTATATATAGGCGCTGCAAGATGCGATCGAGGCAGTATTGTATTTGGCGAGACAAGCGAAGCTTCGGAGCGGAATAAAGTGAATTAGTGTGTTTAATTATTAGTGTTTTAAGTTTTAATTTTTTTTGGGTATACAAAATAATAAGTATGTAGGTTAGCCCTAATAGTTAGTAATAGTTTTTGAGTAATGTATTCAAAAGTGGCTTGAAATACATACTGCCTGTGTGTCACCATTTTCTTTTTCGAACATTTCTTAAGCTATACCAGCTTTTCAAACAACAACCCTCACAAGCACTTCATTTGTATCCATGTAGTCACAGAGTGTGGAATAAGCTGCCAGAGAACGTAGTCTCAAACCAAAACGTGAACCAATTCAAAAATAGATTGGATTATCATTTTCTGAACACAACAGAACAGGATACATACTGTTTCTGGGCACAACAGGATACACACATAAACAGACATTATCAGTTGTCTTAACTGCCTGCCTGCTAATATACAATATACAGAGTGTTAGTGTAAACACCGTTATCCTTGAAACCAGTAGTTTGGTTTCACTTATAGAACGTAAATTCAATCAATTTAAAAAAACGCTATTTTTTTTCATAAAATTTGAAAAGTTTCTGTCCGACATCGTCCGTAAATTCATGGATACCCTATGCGCCCGAGTGACGTAATCACTGTAAAGATCATCGCCCGCGCTAGCTACCTACACAACATTTCAATTAAAACACAATAGGTACACATAACCTTTTTTTTTGCGAATGGAAAATCATCTAATGACGCCTTTCGCTCTGGGTGGAGCGTAAGGGAGTGTCAGACTTTTACTGACTAAAAATCATCCGTGTTCCTTCAGTGCCCTTACGTTCCGGAGCCGCGGTATCTCTTTCGAACAGCCCGCAGCCCCGGCAGGCGTCGGCCCTTGCGGGCCCCTTCACGCTGCTGACAGCTCTTTGAGGCGCGCGTGGAACAAAACGCGCCGTCGACACGGCCTGTCGTCGTTAGACGGACGGACGGCGAGCTACCCATTGCTCGCCGTCCACAGGCCCGCGCCTACGGTGTCCGGGGGCCACGACGTAGCCCCCGACGTCCGGGGCGTCTCCCGCGGCGGCCGGGGAGGAAAGCTGCTGCTCTCTCCTTCTCCCGCTCCGCCACCTCCTTCGCTAGCATCACTGCTTCGCAGAAGGTGGTGACGGCATCCCATTCCGTCTCGCTCCGGACCATGGCTTCGACCAGGGCCGGACGCGAGAGGTCGCCGCCGCCTATCGCCGCTACGAAGACACGGTGGTGCTCCGCCCAAGCAGGGCACACCTCCACCGTGTGTTCCACCGTGTCCTCCGGTCCATCCTCGCAGTGGGAGCACCCGAGCGTTTCCTCCCGCCCGATTCGGTGCAAGAACCTCCCGAACACACCGTGTCCGGTGAGGACCTGCGTCAGGCGGAAGGTGAGGATGCCGTGGCGTCTCTCAAGCCACTCCTCAAAGAGGGGGCTTATCGCCGCTATAGTGGCGTGTCCAGCGCGGGGTTGCGACAGTCGCTCTCTCCATGTCGCCATGAGATCATGCCGGAAGTCTGTCCGCTGCGCGACAACTTGCCGCGGCAGCGGGGTTTCCCCTCGGCATAGTGCCTCCGCGCGCCATTCGTGCAGGCGCGCGAGGACTATCGCCTCCAGATCCCATGGCGGCAATCCGGCAAGGAGGCTCGCCACCTCGCGGGAGATCGTGCGGTAGCCGCGAACCATTTTCACGGCAACCACCCTTTGGGGCGCGTTCAGGTGGTAGACGGCAAGCCGCGCCAAACCACGCGCCCACACCGGGGCCCCGTAAAGGGCCATGGATCGCACGATCCCCGCGTAGTGCCTCCGGCAGGAGCCGCCTGAAGGTAGCCCCGGTCCGTTCCAGTTTGGGAGCCAAACGTCGGAAGTGCTCAACGAAGTTCCATCGGCCGTCAAAGACGAGTCCTAGGTACTTCAGCGTCGACTCGACGCCGATGGATACCCCTCCTACCATCACTGAGGATCCCGGTGGTGGCCTGTTCCGAGGACCATGGAAGTGAATGGCCTCGGACTTGTGCAGAGCCACCTCGAGACCCAGTTGCCGAATCCTCTCAACGACTATCGCAACCCCGCGTGTCATAGTTTCCGCCGCTGCCTCGTACGTCCCCCCTTGTGCCAGTACCCGCGTAGTTTGCTACGCTGACGCCGGTAGGGAGGTCGGCGCGCAGCACCCAGTCGTAACCGATGTTCCACAGAGGTGGCCCCAGAACCGAACCCTGTGGGACACCGCACGACATCTCTCGCCGGTTCGACTCACCGTTGCGACCGGGGTAGATGACGGCCCTGTCCGTCAGATAGTCCCCGACAATACGACGGAGAGAGGTCGGCACCCGGTGATACCGGAGTGCCTCCCTAATGCAGCTCCAGGGCATGGAGTTGAAGGCGTTGGCGATGTCGAGAGACACCGCCAAGACAACCCCCCCTCTGGCCACTGCATCCCCCGTCGTGAGGGCTCTCACGCGCATGATGGCGTCCACCGTAGAGCACCTCTTGCAGAAACCAAACTGGTGTTCCGCAAGATCCGGCCCCGTCCCCGCAAGGTGCTCGGCGAGGTGGTTTGCAATGACTCTTTCAAAGAGCTTGCCCACCTCGTCGAGCAGCGACGAGAGTCCGCAGCGCCCCGGCTTCCGAAGAGGCCCCGCCATGGCCTCTCTCCGTGGCAGGAGCTCTCCAGTCGGGGCCCGAGAGCCTCCGAGGCCAGGACCCAGGCTTTGCCAGGTAAGCCATCGGGTCCTGGGGCGGTATTCCTGGCCTTGAGCCTACGTACCGCCACTCTCAGGTCTACCCCGGTCCCTTCCGGGATGTCGTCGTCGTCGTCCTGGTGGTCCGCTTCTGGCACCGCAGGTAGCGGAGCCATAGGCGGGGGGCGGATGTTCCTCTCGCGCAGGGAACAGAGGGCTCACCACGTCCCCCACGAGCTGGGGCCTGAGACTCTGCGTCAGCGGAGGGGCCCAGGTGCGGAGTTTATCCCGCACCATCTTGTAAGAGCGCCCCCACGGATCTCTGTCGAGAATCTCCAGCATCTCCTCACGGGCCCTATCCCGGGCCCGCAGGAGAGCCTCCCGAAGGGCGGTCTTCGCCGCTCTGTATCCCTCGTACAGCTCCGCCTCAATGGCTGCCGTATTCGGTGGACGAATGCGGAGCCTGCGATGCCTGGCGTACAGGTGCCGCGCGGCGACACACGCCTCGCGCAGAGGCGTCAGCTCACGCGACCACCAATACACCTGACGCCGGGCGCTTCCTGGCCGGACGAGGGGCATTGCCACGTCACATATCTCGGACATGGCCTCCTAGAACCACCCTGCCTCATCATTGACGTCGGCAGGCCTGTGCGGGAATGACACCCAGGCCTGCACGATCGAGGCTTCCAGGAGGAGCTCCCGGTCCAGCTGCTTCAGCGCCTAACGCGGACCACTCGGGGCCTGTTGGACTGGCGCGCTCGAGGGCTGGGTGGAGACGTCAAACCGGATGTACCGGTGGTCGGAGTAGGTCGCCACCCCCCCCCCATGACACGCCAGTCAATGGCACGCGGCGACAGAGCGGGGCTAGCGAACGAGATGTCCACCACCGACTCGCCCCGCATCCGCAGACACGTGGGGACAGAACCCCGATTTAGGAAGACCAGGCCTGTCTCCAGAGCCCAGTCTTCCACCATCCTACCCCGCACATCTGTACGACGAGAACCCCAAGCCAAGTACTTGGCATTGAAGTCCCCGAGGACAAGTACGGGGAGGGGATAACTTCCGACGACGACTGCTCTCAGCTCTGCAAGAGAGTTGTGGAGCTCGGCGAGAGATCGGTTCAGGGAGAAGTACACCCC